GCTCCAGCCCCCAATCTTGCGCACCCCCGCCCGCCGCCTGCGCACCCAGCACGCGCAGCCGCCCCCCACGCACGCACACATCCCCAATCTTCCAACTGTAAGAGTCCGTTTGCCCGCCGCGCCCCGCGCCCTGCACACCTGCTCGTCCGCCCGCTCGTCCACGCTGCCGACGTGCATCTCTAGATGCGCCTCGAACCGCGCCGGCGGCGTCTTGTTGGGCAGCAGCACGTACTGCAGCCCGTTGGGCAGCCGCCCCTGCACCAGCTCCCCGTGGGGCTGGATCTCCTGGGAGAGCAGCTGCCGCACGTCGGTCGCGTCGGCGACGCCGGCCTGGGGCGAGCGATGCGCGGCACGAGGGGGGCGGAGGAGGCGTCGGCGGCCGCGGCGGGCGGGCGGAAGCGTTGCTGCGCTGTGCAGCCAATTCACACAGCAGAGGTGCAGCGGGGCCGGCAACGAGCGCAGAAGCAGCAGGCAATCCAGGCGAAACCGGCAGCGCCAAATTTTATAGGCTTTGGATGGATGCAGATTGGATGAACGGCGTTTGGGTGATGATGTTGGTGCAAGGATCCATGCGTCGCGCGCAGCAGGCTTCCATGCAAGCTAGGACGGCAACATGAGGCGGTGAGGCGGGCGGCGGGCGCCACCCGGCCGGCACCCACCAGCGTCGCGGCGACAATCAGGCGTCCGCCGCGGCGGCAGAATGCGGCCGAGATGTAGGCGCCACTGCGGGCGCGGCGCGCGCCGGGCGCCGCGGCGAGAGCGGCGGCGGCGGGGCGGCGCGCACCAGGCGCACGCGCGTGCAGCGCAGCCTGGCTACGTGCTGGTGTGCACCTGCGTGAACAGTCATAACGGGTGTGACATCGCCGAGCAACGATGCATGCTTCTCGAAGCCCATGACGGGTGGCTGCCGCAGTTCGACCCAGTATCGGCGATCTGGAAGCTCCACGGCGCACATGCCGCACAATATTGTGCTTACCTGGTAACTTGAGCCCGAGACATGCATGCTGGCCTACACTGCTGCGCCGCTGCATTCCTGCAGCGAAGCGCCGAGGCTCCCAGCGGCTTGATGCCACAGGCCCCGGCGAGGCCTCGACAGTGTGTTTTGGGCCCAGAGGCATGGCCAATGGCCCCACGCATCTTTGCGAGCGGACGCGCTGTGTCGCTGCACCGCGCAAAGCACTGCAAAATGGTGTACGTGTTGCGTTGATGGATGAGGAATGCTAGTGAAGGTCAGCCAGGGTATATATTATGCGGCAAGCGAGAGCACCTGGACGGCGTGGTGGCAACGACGATCTCCGCTGGGTGAGTGCGGGGTGACGGCCATGCATGCGCCTCCATGTGATTGATGTGGCGAGCGCCACCGAGCGTGCCGTGGCACCGCGGGCCAGCGCCCTTGGGACAAAGATAGGATTAGTAGCATCACCATGCAGGCGCACCAGAGGGCCCTTACAACCGGCCCAGCCAAAGCTGCAGTTGGTCGAACAACAAGTCAACCGATGCCGTGCAGGCGGATTGCAAGTAGGCAACCCTGGCTGGCGCAGTTGCTTAAGGCAGCATCCGGATCGCCCAAAACGCGGCCGCGCTCACCAGCACTGCTTTGCTGGAGCCGCAGAGCCCTTTCACAGGCGGCCGACTAACCACGACGGCACCTCAGGCGGCTGTCGGCCGGGCAAGCTTTGCCCAAAGGCTGGCGCCCGACGCACTTGTCCGGCCACATTAGCAGCTTGTGTCGAGCCGCCCTGCATTGAGTGGCGTAATCGCGGCCCACACCACCGATTGCGGTGCTGCGGCGCTTTTATCCGTGGGGGAGGGGGGGGGAGTTTGGGCCCGCAGGGACCAGCAGGCGCAGGGCGGGGCATCGCTTGTTCGTGGGATGCGGTGTCAGCCTGTAGTACCCGTCTGGGTAGGCCGGAAGCGCAGTCCCTTTCCCTTCTTGGGGTGGCGCGCGGGAAGGTGACAGCTTAAGGTTTGCATCAAGGACGGGGTTGGGCTGTGACCACCAGGCCATGATGCTGCCGCTTTGCTCGGCTCGCTGCAGGCCGCGCTGTCTCTCGTTACTTGCGGCGTCGCTGGTGAGTGCTGTCGCAGCGCCCTGCATTGCAGGGTCTGCACGGCCCTACGATGACAAGCATGACGTGCACTCATAATTGACAAAATGACGTACCCAGCAATATGAAAGCATATCTCAATTCAACCAGCTAAAAGTGTGCAATAAACTCCTGCCTACGCCTTGAAATGCGTCACGGCGCATTGCACGCCAGCTGGAGGCACTAGCAAGGGCGGCAGGGGGCCGCTCGGTCACCGTGTCAAGTGTCGGTTGCTAAAACAGCCACCTGGCGGCAACCACGCCAGCCAAACCATGGTGCATGCGTGGACGAGGGGGTTCTCAATCAATATGCTGGTGTCTGTTGATTCATCTGATTTCCCGATTCGCGGGAAGAAAGGGCCGGAGCGTTCTTGGAACACCCACCACCACGGCGGTGTTGGAGCGCATGCCCCTCCGTCACGCACGGGCTGGTCACGCGCGCAGCGCGGTGGGTGCTACGTTCGATTTATTGATTCCAAACGCGGTGACGTGTCCACATTTACATGCGGGCAAAAACGCGCTGATGCTGTGTGCTCTACAGGGTGCACGCTCTGCACTGCAGCCATCGCACTCACAGGCGACCCCGCGAACGCCCATGTTGTAAGGGTGTGACATGACGCACTCCAACGACAGCCCCGTATGGGGACTGCGGCCCTCAGCAGAACCTAGCATCCATGGCTGGACGTCCAGGTCTCAGGAGCTGCGTCCTCCTCACGAGCAGCTCAGTTTGATAGTAGCGCAGGCAAAGAAGCACGCGTCCGTGCAGAGGCTGGCCGCGCACTATGAGGAGTGGGAAACGAGCCTCAGGCGAGAGGCCGAGGAGAGGATCGGTGGATTCAAGCCCCTGCAGCGGTTCATAGAGGCCAGTGGTCAGACGGAGGACTGGCAGCTGTTGCGTCGTGTCAAGAGCCAGCAGCCTGGGCTAGGGGGCGCGATGAAGCGCTCGGCGAGCGAGGGCACGCTCACATTGGCGGAGCACCAGCCGCGCAGCGCGCAGCGCGTGCACATGCGGCAGGATTGGGAGCCGCTCGGCAGCAGCGGCAACATGGCCGCGCAGGCCACCGCCGTCCCGCATGCGACGCCGCACGAGGCCCCGCGGGAGCGCCGGCGCTCCGCCGACGGCGACCCCGCTGCGGCCGCGCCGCACATCAGCCAGGGCGGCAGCGGCGACGCGCCGTCCCCGCAGGCGGCGCAGCAGCAGCAGCAGGCGCACCGCTTCCCGCGCGCCACGACGGCGCCAGCGCTGCGGGACGAGGACGGTGAGGAGTCGGAAGCCTCCGACGACGGCGGCGCGCCGTCCGCCACCGCCACGCGCCGCGGCACGCGCTCCAGCGCGCCGGGCGGCGCCCCGGCCGCGGCTTCGGCCGCGTGGTCTGCCAGCGGCGGCGCCGGCAGCCCGCCGGACGACCTCGGCGCGCGGCAGCTCGAGGCCGTCGCCGCGCGGCTGCTGCAGTCGAGCCGGGCCGCGATCCAGACGGCGCACGCGGCGGTCGCGGAGACGGCGATCAACTGCTCCCAGAACCTGCAGACTCTGGGGGCCCTGTTCAGCGCGAGCGTCGGCCAGGGCATGTCGTCAGCAGGCGGCAGCAGCGACAGCCTGGCCCTCGCCGGCGGCGGCCCAGACGGCGGCGGTGACAGCGGCGCCCGCGGCTCGGGCGGCGGAAGCCAGCTGCAGCTCGTGCCATGGGCCGCGAACGACCGCGCGGCGGCTGCGGCGGCGGCGGCGGCAGCAGCAGACGCGGGCGGGCCGTGGGACCTCATACCTCGGTACCTCCGTCTCACGGCCGAGGGCCTCGCCGGCGGGCCGCTCGCTATCGGCGACGCGGCCGGCGCGGCCGCTGCCGGCGGCGCCGCCGCAGGCGTCGCCGCTGCCCAGCAGGACGGCGGCGCGCAGCCGGCCGTGTACAGGCAGCTCGCCGAGTACTTTGACCGGCTGGAAGAGGAGCGCCGCCGCCGCCGCGCGGCTCGGCGCGGCGGCGCGTACAGCAGCCTGCGGGAGCCGGGGCGCAACGTGGCTATCGTCACGACCGCCTCGCTGCCTTGGATGACGGGCACCGCGGTCAACCCGCTGCTGCGCGCCGCATACCTGGCCAACGAGGGCGAGCCCGCTACCGGTGACGCGGACGGCGTAACCGGCGGCGTAACCGGCGGCGCCGGGCGGCGGGTGACGCTGCTCCTGCCGTGGCTGAACAAGAGCGACCAGGAGCGGGTGTTCCCGGGGGCGGTCACGTTTGACAGCCCGACGGACCAGGAGGCGTTTGTGAGGGAGTGGGCGCAGAAGCGGACGGGGCTGCCGTGCGACTTTGCAGTGAAGTTCTATCCGGGGCGCTACGCCCCAGAGAAAGGTGAGCTTACTGATTTTACCGTGAGGCTGGGGCGGCCGCTTTCCTGTTGCAATCGGAGCGGCCGCTGGCCCCGGCTTTGCAATTTGCGGACGGGCGGGCGCAGGGGGGGGGGGTGCCTCACCTTCGGAGGCGCGGGTGTGCGTCTGGCCCGGCCCACGCCTGAGCAGGCGGGCCGTGCCGTTGTCAATCGGCAGATCTGGGGCAGCGTAACCAACTCACTCGTTATTGCACCGCCGGCCGTCCCTCCCCCCCCCCCCAGGGTCCATCCTGCCCGTCGGTGACATCACTCAGTACATCCCCGACAGCGAGGCTGACGTGGCGGTGCTCGAGGAGCCCGAGCACGTGAGCACACGGCTTGCCATGAAACCCCGGCAGTCTTTGCACTGGCGCCGCTGAGCCTGCCGGCTCCCTGCGCCCCCCACCCCCGCGCCTGTGCACGCGCCTGCCCGCGGC